AATCCCAATCCCAGATTTAATCCCAATCCCAGATTTAATCCCAATCCCAGATTTAATCCCAGGTTTAATCCCAATCCCAATCCCAGCTGACCATGAGGGTGTCCTTGGGGCAGAGGTTCCTGCTGGGGCTGCGGGCGCTGCCGCCGGCTCTGATCCCAGGTTTGATCCCAATCCCAGATCCGATCCCAACCCCAATCCCAGATTTAATCCCAATCCCAGATTTAATCCCAATCCCAGATTTAATCCCAGGTTTAATCCCAATCCCAATCCCAGCTGACCATGAGGGTGTCCTTGGGGAAGAGGTTCCTGCTGGGGCTGCGGGCGCTGCCGCCGCCTCTGATCCCAGGTTTGATCCCAAATCCCAATCCCAATCCCAATCCCAGGTTTAATCCCAATCCCAGATTTAATCCCAGGTTTAATCCCAATCCCAGATTTAATCCTAATCCCAGATTTAATCCCAATCCCAGGTTTAATCCCAATCCCAATCCCTGCTGACCATGAGGGTGTCCTTGGGGAAGAGGTTCCTGCTGGGGCTGCGGCCACTGCCGCCGCCGCCGTTGGGCTCCTGCGGCGCCGGCGCTCTCCGGAACCAGCTGGAGATGGCCCAGATGATGAAAATCCTGCGGGAAAACCCCGGAAATCCCAAATCAAATCCTCGGGAAAAATCCTCGGGAATTCCGCTGGGATCGGCCCCGGCCCTCCCAGCGCTGCCATTCCCCAAAAAATCCTGGTCCCAGTTCCCGGTCCCGGTTCCTGCCCCCGTCTCTGCCCCGGTCCCGGTCCCCGACTTTGACCCCGGACCTTGCCCCCTTCCCGTGCCTGTCCCTGTCCCCGTCCCTGCCCCGTTCCCTGCTCCATTCCCGGCCCGGTTCCCTGACCCGGTCCCGGTCCCCGCTCTCGGTCCCGGTTCCCGGTCCCCGACTTTGACCCCGGACCTTGCCCCCCTCCCGTTCCTGTCCCTGTTCCCTTCCCTGCCCCGCTCCCTGCCCCGGTCCCTGCCCCGCTCCCTGCCCCGGTTCCCGGTCCCGGTTCCCGCTCCCCGTCCCTGTCTCTGTCCCTTTCCCCGTCTCCGCTCCCGCTCGCTGTCCCCGTTCCCGCTCCCAGTTCCTGTCCCCGTTGCCCCTTTCACCCCTCTCACCCCTTTAACCCCTTCAGTCCCAGCTCTCACCTGAACAGGACCCCTTTAACCCCTTCAGTGCCAGCTCTCACCTGAACAGGACCCCTTTAACCCCTTCAGTGCCAGCTCTCACCTGAACAGGGCCCCTTTAACCCTTTAACCCTTTCCCTCCCAGCTCTCACCTGAACAGGACCCCTTTCACCACCTGCCAGGCGTTCGGTGCCGGTTGCTGCTGCTGCCCCTGCGGGCTCTCGGGCGCGGCGCCGGTACCGGCAGCGCCGTTACTGCTGGACACCTGCAGAACCGGAACCGGAACCGGGACATCAGTGACACCGGTACTGACCCGGTACTGACCCAAACCCAGCCCCATCCCGGTACCGGCAGTGCCGTCACTGCTGGACACCTGCGGAACCGGGACATCAGTGACACCGGTACCGACCCAAACCCAGCCCCATCCCGGTACCGGCAGCGCCGTCACTGCTGGGCACCTGCGGGACCGGCACTGGAACTGGTCACCGGTACCGGCTACCGACACCGGCCTGGCCCTGTCCCCATCCCTTCCCGGGCACCGACACCGGCCCGGTACCACCATCCCGGTACCGGCTCCATCCCGATCCCTTCCCGGTCACAGACACCATTCCGGTACCGGCCCCAGCCCCAGCCCCATCCCGATCCCTTCCCGGTCCCGTCCCGCTCACCAGTCCCGGCCCGATCCCTTCCCACACCGGTCCCGCTCACCGGCCCCTTCCCAGCCCCGCTCCCGGTTCCGGTTCGTGGCCCTGGCCCGGTCCCGGAGCCGCCCTGCTCCCGGAGCCGTTCCCGGTCCCGTTTCTCTGTCCCTGATCCCCGGTCTCCGTCCCGATCCCTTTCCCCTGTCCTGATTCCCGGTCCCGGTTCCTGCTCTCGGTCCCGGTTCCCGGTCCCCGACTTTGACCCCGGACCTTGCCCCCTTCCCGTTCCTGTCCCTGTTCCCTTCCCTGCCCCGGTCCCTGCTCCGGTCCCTGCCCCGTTCCCTGCCCCGGTCCCGGTCCCGGTTCCCGCTCTCGGTCCCGGTTCCCGGTCTCCGGTCCCGCTCCCCGTCCCTGTCTCTGTCCCTTTCCCCCTCTCCGCTCCCGCTCGCTGTCCCCGTTCCCGTTCCCAGTTCCTGTCCCCGTTCCCCGTTCCCGTTCCGGTCCCCGCTCCGGTTCCCGGTGCCGCTTCGGTTCCCGCTCCCGCTCGGGTTCCCCTCTCTCCGCTCCGCGGGCGGGTTTCCCGCGGTCCCCTCGGGCCCGCTGCGGTTCCCGGTGCGGCTCCCGGTGCCGCCCGCTCGCTCCCGGCCCCGCTCGCTGCCGGACCTGCCCCGGGCCCGGGCCCGGCCCCGCCGCCGCCTCCGTCCCCGGCGCCGCCATCTTTGCTGCGCCGCCTCTCGCGAGACTTCCGGGGGCAGCGCCCGCGTGACCCCGCGGAGGGGCGGGGAAACGCGCAAACCGCGCCCCTTTGGTGACGTCACAGCACAAACCACCAATAGCGGCGCGGCCCGCCCCCGGCGGGAGGGGGCAGCGCCCGCGTGACCCCGCGGAGGGGCGGGGAAACGCGCAAACCGCGCCCCTTTGGTGACGTCACAGCACAAACCACCAATAGCGGCGCGGCCCGCCCCCGGCGGGGGGGGGGTTCCCCGCCACGCCCCCTCGGCCGCGCTCAGCCAATGGGAGCGCGCCCCGCCCCCAGCGCGCTCCCCGGGGGTGTTCCCCTGCGTGACGTCACCGCCGCGCTCAGCCAATGGCGGCGCGGTGCGCTCCCGGTGGGGGTTTCCCCGACCGCGCCCCCGGCGGTGACGTCACGGCGGGCTCAGCCAATGGCGGCGCGGCCCGCGCGGGGATTTCCAGGTCCGGCGGCGGCGCGGCCTCGGGGGGCGGCGGCGGGAGCGGCACCGGCGGCTCCGGGGGCTCCGGGACCGGAACCGGGACCGGAACCGGGACCAGCGGGACCCGCACCGGGACCGGAACCGGGAGCACCGGGACCCGCACCGGAACCAGCGGGACCGGAACCGGGAGCACCGGGACCCGCACCGGAACCAGCGGGACCGGCTTCGTGAGCACCGGGACCGGAACCGGGAGCACCGAGACCCTCACCGGAACCAGCGGGACCCGCACCGGGAGCACCGGGACCGGCACCGGGACCAGCGGGACCGGGACATGGCGCTGCCGCTCGGTGAGCGCCGCCCCGCCGCCTCCGGGACCGGCCCGGGGGGAGCGGAACCGGGGATCCCCCCCGGTGGCAGCACCGGGGGCTCACGGGGGAAAACGGGGCGGGCGCGGGGGTGTCACGCTCCGGTGCCGCGGCTGTCCCGGTGCTCGCGGTGTCCCGGCGGCGGTGCCGGTGCTGACGCCGCCCTCCCGGTGCCGTGTCCCGGCAGGAGCGGCCGTGCAGGATCCCGGGCTGGCGATGGCTCACGGAGCACCGGCCGCAGGTAAGGTCCCGCTCCCGGCTCCGGTCCCGCTGCCCCCTCCCGGTCGGGGGCTTCTCCCGGGATCGTTTTCCCCGATTTTCCCTCTTTTCCCCCTTTTTTTCCCCTTTTCTCCCGGTTTTTCCCTGTTTTTCCCGATTTTTCCTCGTTTTCCCCCTTTTTAAACCCGTTTCTCCCGGGTTTTTTCCGTGTTTTCCCGGTTTTCCCGGTTTTTCCCCCATTTTTTCCCGTTTCCCCCATTTTTTCCCATTTTTTCTCCCAGTTTTCCCCATTTTTTCCCTGTTTTTCCCGTTTTTTCCCTGTTTCCCCGGTTTTTTCCCCCTTTCCACAATTTTTCCCCCTGTTTTCCTCTTTTTTCCCCTTTTTTTCCCTTTTTCCCTTTTTTCCCCGTTTCCCCCGTTTATTTCCCCGGTTTCCCCATTTTTTCCCGTTTTTTTCCCCATTTGCCCCATTTTTTTCCTCTTTTTTCCCCCGGTTTTCCTGTTTTTTCCCCACTTTTTTTTCCGTTTCCCTCGGTTTTTCTCCCGGTTTTTCCCGGTTTTCCCCGTTTTTTCCCCATTTTCCCCCCCTTTCCACAATTTTTCCCCCTGTTTTCCTCTTTTTTCCCCTTTTTTTCCCTTTTTCCCTTTTTTCCCCGTTTCCCCCGTTTATTTCCCCGGTTTCCCCATTTTTTCCCGTTTTTTTCCCCATTTGCCCCATTTTTTTCCTCTTTTTTCCCCCGGTTTTCCTGTTTTTTCCCCACTTTTTTTTCCGTTTCCCTCGGTTTTTCTCCCGGTTTTTCCCGGTTTTCCCCGTTTTTTCCCCATTTTCCCCCGTTTCCCCCGATTTTTTTCCCGATTTCCCCATTTTTCCCCGGTTTTTCCATGTTTTTCCCGGTTTTTCCCGTTTCCCCCATTTTTTCCCCGTTTTTTCCCCATTTCCCCCATTTTTTCCCGGTTCTTCCCCCTTTCTCCCGTTTTTTTCCCGGTTTCCCCCATTTTTTCCCCGATTTTTTTCCCCATTTCCCCATTTTTTTTCTCCATTTTTTCTCCCGGTTTTCCCGATTTTTCCCCATTTCCCCCGGTTTTTTTCCCATTTTTCCCCGTTTCCCCCCGATTTTCCCAATTTTTTTCCCCATTTCCCCCTTTTTTCCCCGGTTTCCCCCCCTTTCTCCCGTTTTTTTCCTGTTTCCCCCGGATTTTTCTCGGTTTTTCTCCCGGTTTTCCCGGTTTTTCCCCCGTTTCTCCCGTTGTTTCCCGTTTTTCCAGATGATTTGGGTGAGTGGAACCGAGGGAATTTGGAATCTCCGCCGCCTTCCGGGAATTCCGGGATCCCGGAGCCGCGAGGAGCAGTTCGGGAATTTCGGGATTTTTGGGAATTCGGGATTTTG